AAAGCCAAGCCAAGCCAAAGCCTGTGCCTGTGTGCCACAGAGAGTCTACTTTTTGTGCTCTTGACCCAGTGGCAAGAGTGTCAAAGAGGCTGTAATCTTTATGGTTATAGCCGCCGCATGCCTAAACACGTCCAATAAAAAGTATGTCCACCATGCGATGCCATGCCATGCCATATGCCATGATCTTTCGGATAAATGTAATTACCGGCGCTCTAATGTGCTAAATGCAATTGGCAATGCTTTAATGGCGGAACGTGTTTGAAGATCTGGGCATCAGCTACCCAACCCCATCTCGAGGCAATGTGTGAAGACATCTCTGTGCCCCACAAAGCACTCTGGGGCAATGGAGCTGTCAAATGTGTGACAAATAAAAAACTTGCTAAAAAGTCAGCCGGAAAGATTCGTTTCGAAAAAAAAAAGTGGATTCCATGAAGCGTGCAACGAGAGACACATACATATGTCCATACATAAATTCGCAGTAGTCCGTGTCCCCACAGCGGACAGCATTAATTACATTCGATTGAACAATCAATAAAGAGCAATCAGAGCAAAGATACAGCAGATACACATACTCTCAGATACTTTTACTTGTATCTCTGTCTGTCTGTCTGTCTAGCGCCTTTGTCGCTCGTTTCAATACAATTTACACATAATTTTACATAATCTATGGCTCATTGCGAGTAACTGTGTCAGGCAGAGACACAGACTCTATGGCTCTACAGTAGTTAGCCATGTATCTAATGGATACGCAAAAGCGCCACAATTATGAGCGGTCTTTTGTTGGTTTTACTTTCGTTCCGATCGCAGCGGGAAAACTGGGGAAACTAGTGACGGAAGCAGCTCGGGTACTCGTTGGGGAAGGCAGAAAAAAAACTCATCTAGTTTTTACTTTCCATTTAAGACAGGCCCAGCCAAGCCAAGCCAAGCGCAGACTTTCAATTGCTTGACTGCTGTGCAAAAGATAAAGATAAATAGATATATAAATGCAGATACAGATACAATCACACTTCTAGATCGAAGGCTTATCAGGGCTTTTCCCCTGCTCCACTTTGTTGGGTTTTTACTTTTCCACTGCACTGTCTACTTTCCATATCGCCATATCGTTTACTCTGCTCTGCTCTGCTCGTGTGCCCGCATCCATCAGATGATCTCTTAATTAGCCACACAGTTGGACATTAATTAGTGCCGCTGTTTTGGCTTGGCTTGGTTTGGTTTGGTTTGCTTTGTTTTTCCTTTTTATTTTTGCTGTTGCTCTCACTCTCGCTCCGAATTAAATGGAAATCACTTTGGCGAGATGTTTGCTGTTTGCCATTTGTGACATTTCTGTTTGGTTGCAGGTTCAGGTTCAGCCTTAATGGGTGGGGTGTGTGGGGACGAGACGAGACGGGCACTGCTTGGACTTTCGCTCTGTCAAAGGTCAGCCACGTGTTCAAGGGGTCGGTGCAAGTTTAATAATTGCCTCTAATCTGGATGCTAGTTTGAAGCTAATGGCATTCCTGTCCTAGCATTACACTTGTAAATGTTCTGTGAACTTTGGAGCACCATTAGCTTTATGTTTGGAATTCTAGTTGGAGGATTATTAACACTCAAAGTATTTTTACTTTTATTTACAACTGATTGATCTTGAGTGGGCCTTTATTTTCGCTGCCTTTTGTAGTTAATTATGCTGCTGTTTGCTGTTTTGAAAATGAACCCTTAATTATCTTAAGTAACAACAACAACAAAACAAAAGTTATGAGCAAATTTTGAGGTGAACAGAGGTTCTGTGTGGTTGGCTTCTTTCGAGTACAGCTCCTCTAAATGGCAAGTTAATGTTCGGTTTGACTTTGGTCAGATGTGGAAGTGGAAAAAGCCGCCGCTTTTGGTTACGCCCGGCTGAATATGAGTTGGTGGTGCCACTGCCACTGCTCTGCCACTGCTGCTGCCACTGCTGCTGGTGTTTGTTGCCCTCGTCAGAACCTTTATCAAGTGTCATAGTTTTTCCTACTCTCCGACTCCTCGCTTTAGTTGTCGCCGTTCAATTTGAGTGCACAAAGAAAAGCAACGACTGAGCCGGAGAGTGGCATACAGCCGTACATACCCGTACTACATGTGTATCTGTTGTACTTTCTTGGGAGTACATACATAGGTACATAGTATGTATTTATGTACCTGTTAATAACTTGTAACTTGATGCACTGCACACCACCATCCATCGCGTCCCTTGGGTTCCGTTTGGTTCGCTTCGCTTCGGTCCGGTACGGGACGTCCCCGTCTCACTGGACTGACTTTCCAAGTCTTCCACCCAACCAAACGGTTGAACGAGCTCCGCCCCGTACCGTCTGCCGTCTGCTGTCTCCCCTCTCTGTTCTATGTGTAATCGTATCTGTGTGTGGATTTAACACTCATGTCTGTGGCTTTTCTGCTTAATTTGCAGACACAAAACTATCTGCATACAATATCTGTATCGGCTACTGTGTCTGTGTCTGTGTCTGTGGCTGTAGCATGCAAATGCAAAATCTTTTTGGCATTACGGCGCCACATTTGTTTGCTAAATGTTCGTTCAATAATAAACAAGCGAAGACGCCGCCACGCTGCGCGTTTTCTTCGTCCACATTTGGGCCTTCGCTTGCGCCAAAGATGAAGCACATTTTTGTATACCCAGCGGAGTGCATGGAGTGTACATGAGTAGGATGGGTACGGTACCTTTTCCATCCTTCTTAAAGTATGTTTAGATATGGGTGAACGGGAGGCATTGATTTCTATGGGAATAAGCAGTTGGATCGAGTTTAGTCTACTGGCCGGTGAAACCTATTTATTGAAATTGAACACTTTAAAGGGTAGGGTCACCATATTCCATACTCCATTGGGATATATGCCCAATTAATTATCCCCATAATCAACTTAATGGATGCCGGAACTTCTTGTTCAAGTACAGGGCATCCTTTTAGTCGAGCATCCCTCCTCGCCCTGTGTAATCTCACCTGTTTGCTCATAATGACGAGGCTTTTAGAGGCGGTCTGGAATTGCAGTAAATGAACGCTAAAATTTGTATAAGCACTCGTCATCTCGGGGCAGATTGAGATATATCGTATGTGGTACGAGTATATATGTATGGCCTCTTTCGGGGTACGGCTTGGCCGATCCACTGGTCACCGAACTCGATCTCGCATGTTCCAAGTGGATTTTGGCTTCTTTCTCTTTTCCCTTTTTTTATTTTTTATTTTGTATTTTTTTGCTCATTTATGCAAGCATGCATAATCATTGGTAAGGTAAATATGCCTTTCCACTGAAGACGGCAACGACGATAAGAGGAGGCTGTGGCTCCCACCCGACTCGGGCCAAAGATAAATGTGTGCCATTGGGCCGATAAGATGTTTGTTTGACTTCTGATGCCGATGCCTCGAACAGCACTCATTAGTATAGTGACCCAACACAACAACACAAAAAATCTTCAATAATCGAAATGCTGTGAGTCATTCATTAGACTTGAATATCGCTGCCAGCTGTGCCCCAACGGCGAAACAATTTACGCACTTACGCTTAATTAATGTTTATTAGCCGCATATATTTATTTAATTCCCCCTGCCCCGTTGCCAAGATGTTGGCTAAATTAACCCCCAGCCGCAAAAGGGGGATTAAGTTTTATTATTGATGGATTTGACTGGGATTTTATTGGTGTTGAGCTTTTCTCGGAAGTATATGAGTAGAATACGAAATCGGATTCATAAATACGGATGATCAAATGGGGATATATACAGAATAAAAAGCAGAAAAATAAGAGATTAATCACAGATGAATCCAGACCTAAGCAGACCTAAGAAATACAAGAACTTAGGGAATTTGTGCACTTAAATCTAATCAGTATTATCAATATATTACTTTTTTCAATTATTAAAATAAATAGACCAGCTGGACTTTTCCACTAACATTATCAACTCCAAAGTTAAATAGTTTCTGTAACTCCTTGCAGTCGTTAATCATAAATAAAAATACCAATAACTCGAACCGAATTACTGTGTGAAATAATTCCGATCTGCAATTTAGATTAGAAGTCACTTATCAGCAGTCTTTATCTCCAGAGAAACGAGATATATTTTTATTGAATATGCACTTTCCATTGTGGCTGGCAGTGGGTTAAGGCATCTGCTGTTGGGAGCTTCAATGGAAACGAAAACGAAAATGAAAATGAAAATGGAACATTGAACGCTATTTCAGGCACAAGAACTTCCACTCCATTTTTGTGTCAATCAAAATAAATTGTGAAACAGAAACCGAAACCGATACAGCAACAGCAACAGAAACAGAAACACTTGGCCACTGATAGCATTGTGTGCACTTGACTCGATTCGTATTGGAACAGATGTTTCAACTTTAAACGACTTTCTGCTCGATTCGATTCGAGATATTTTCACTGCCAGTTAAATGATAAAAAAAAAACGCGAGCAGCAGTGGCAAGTGAAAGACCCCGTTCCCCGGACTAGTGCCAAAAGTGCCAAAATTTGCATGCCAACTAAAGAATCTTAGGAGAGTGGTGCCAACAATATGCCATAATAGGGTAATATGTAAGCCATAGAATAGCATGGAGGAAGGCCATTTTTGCTTTCACTTTCACAGATCAGCGATTTGTGGCAGATTTCTGCACACATTTCACTTTCAGTTCAACGGTTTTGTTGTCTCCTACTATATAGCAGGTGAGATGGGGGGGATAGACATTGTTCTCTGACGATTCGCATGCAAATCCGATGTCAAAACAAAACGAAAACCAGCCAACAACACCCCAGGCCAAGCAGATCTCTCATATGAATCATTTCATTTGAAACACACACACACACACACACAACAGCGGATCGGATATATTTTTGAATATTTATTTCATTTTTGTGTGTGTTTTGGGGTTTCGTGTGAACTCCACAGAGCGCCGGAGTTGGGCTTTGAACTTATTCAGATCCGAATGCTTCCACGAATTTTACTCACCTTCCATGCTGACTTATTTCTGGGCTTGTTTGTGTGTGTTTCAGATCTAATCGATGACCAGCAGCTATAAGCCACGCAGCAGCGACGAAGCCCTCGCCGAGCAGTTGAGTCTGGCCCGGAGCACCGGAAGTGGCACCAAGCCCCTGAGCGGCGGCACGCCCATTTATCGCCAGATATCTGGCGCCATGGCAACCCTGCCACGCCATGACACTGAGTCGTCCATCTCCAGAACCTGCGTCTACATTGGCGGTGCACCAAATTCAAATGGTGCCCCAGTATCCGTGTCCGCCACTCTGGACCGCCGCCAGCCGCATCGCATGTCCTGGCTGAATATGCGCAGGGCCAAGGCCGATGCAGAGCTGGCCGCCATCACGCCATCGCCCCAGACCACGCGCAGCTGCATCTCCACCGTGTCCAGTGTGGTGGACAGCGGCGGGGGACGCACCACCGCCACCTCGGGTCGCATCAGCTCCAGCGGCATTGTCACCCTCAGCGGCAGCAACAACACGCTGAGCGAGATACATGGCGGCTATCACGATCACGATGTGCACGATCTGCACCACGATGGAGTGTCCAAGAATTACTCCGTGTCCGCCTCGGCCATTTCCACGCACAACATCACAACGGCCAGCAATGCCAAGCTGCTGCCAGCCGCCGAGGATGAGGCCAACAAGCAGGTGAGTCGAGTGTGCAGCGCAGTGAAGATGGGAGTATATAAAAACTATATTTCTGGGGCATGGGAGCCAGTTCTAAGCAGGTTGGGGCGCAGTTCGGAAGCCAATTACTTACAGGCTTATAATCAATTTAAGAAACGCCTCTGGGAGGATTTTTATCTTGTTCTGTTACTCCTAATACAATACTTTTTGTGCCAAGAGTAGAATGGAAAAACTATTTTATTTCCATGAATAGAATCTCCATTTAAAACAAACCTTTCGTCTAAATATTATGGCATATCTATTGCAACCAGTATTTCAAGTATAATTAATATAATAAATGCCACTGTCAGTTTCTGATTTTTTGGCAAAGGAACGGTTTAGATGATCGCTACTTAAATTTATGCTGTTAGTTATTTGCATTCCAATGAATCGAAGTCGAAGCGCAGTTCATCATGCCGCAGCGCGCGTGTATGCCATTTATTTTGGCCTCCAGTCGTACCTGTTTGTTGGCTTTTGCTTTGGCTTTGGCTAAACATAAAACCATTTCTCAAGTTGAACTCCTTTTTTCAGTGTTATGTTGTTCATCTTCCCCTTGAGATTTCCTGAGAACAAATAAGAATGAAATAATGATATTTGTTCTTAAACATGAATGAAGATAAATAAGTGAGAGAGAGAGAGAGATCTCTGAATCTCTGGGGATTGGGTGCGGTCGTCGCTGCTTATCAGGTGCGCCGACTTATGAATGGCTTGAGGTGCTGCCGATTCCGCTAATCGATTACTCACGACTCACGGACGAGTCGCGCTGTAAGTCTCGCTTATCCGCTTAATAATGCTCAAAATATTCGAAATGAATTCGAGCGCTCGGACTGTACGTGCCCCGCAAGTGGCAACAGAAATTTTTGCATTTTTTGTTTGTTTGCCCGAATCGATCGATTCTAAGATCGTCTGGGCACCGCCCGCCCCGCCCCCTGGCTGATACTACGTGTGTGTCATATCACACTGGCAGACTACTTCCGTGTGGCAGCAGACTTTACGAGCGCACTGTTACATCTTCTCCCCCCTTCCACCCCTTCCACCTTTCTGATTACATTTCATTTCAGGCTGGAAATGCGTTAATTTTCGCGCTTTTTGTTTGCTCTCATCTTTTGTTTGTTGATCTTTGATTTGAAGTGTTTGAATGGTTTTGTTTTCAAGATGAAGATTACACAAACCAGGTTGCAGCGAAGCATCAGCCGCGGACGAGGGCGTGCCACTCGCAACCTTCAAATATCTTCAAATATCTAAAACAGAGGATCTCTCTCTCTCCCTCTAAATCTTTCCAAATGCTCATTGTCTATGGGGCCTATGGCTGTCGTTGCCTGTCCGGACTGCCTCATAAACACCATCATAAAACAAGTTTAGGAGCTCGCATTTGTCTCCTATTATTTGGGTTAGTAAGGCACTCGGAACCGCACCAGCACCAGCACGGACTAGACCGGATAGGGCTGACCATTGTCTTTCGATTCTCGGATCGCTTCAATTGTTCTGTTCCAACACAATTTACACTCGTTCTGTTCTATTCATGAATACCATAGAGCGGCCAGGTTAGGCTCTCTGGCCGTGCCGTGAGTGCAAGTGCCAAGTGCAGTCTGGTCTGGAAATGGGTCGAAGCGATGCTAATTGCTTTCAATTAGGAACACACTAGTCGAACAAATTCAACTAACAAAACTCAAAAGGCAAAGGAAAATGCTCAACTTTTAAGTAAACAATATAAAACGGTTGATAAAAATATATGCATGTCCGTCAGCAGCAGTCTGCGAAAGTTCCAGACAAATATATTCAGAACTTATTCGAATTTATTCTAAATAATCAGACGGAAGGACAGATCAATATGTCGAGATCTGTTCTAAATATATGTATTTGTGATAGCTCAAAGATTACTATCTTCTCTGCATCAGCAGAGCAGTGAAAGAGTGTTAATTAACGTCGGCTATACATTTTTTAAGACCAAACAGTCGAATTCCATAGCGGCGAGCTATTTGTTGCACGAAAAGTGCTGCATGCTTTTGGGCGTATCTTTTGCTTTTGTTAAAAAAATGGCCGCTGAGTGCTGTGGGGCGCCACCAAACCCTGTTACTCGTTTTGTTCGTGTCCTAAGTCTTTTGTTTCTAAAGAAAATGTTTTATTAAAAAAAGACGATTTTTGAGAATTAAATAAATAAAATTGAATAAATATTAGTAATAAATTTTCAAAAATTAAAATTGATAGACCCAACTGTAAATATACATACATATGTATGTATAATTATTAATATGCCCCCAAACAAATAAATGCCACAAAAAAAAACCGCTATGAAATAATTAAATTCGACATAATTCTCAATATTTTCTTTTGCCAATAAAATGCCATATAAAGTCATAAAATTAAACACTTTTAATAAACATTAACCATCCATTTAATTTGTTGTTTGTTTGGTGAGCAGTCGGTAAGCGAATTTACCAATTTCATGGTCCCGATACCACAGCTCCAAAATGTATCGTTCGGGCTGCCGCTGCTGCCCCTTGCAAGTGCCTGAAGCCTGAAGCCTACCTGCCAGCAATTCGCATATTTGTGTGCTTATTTTTACCTTTTGCTTGCGACTTTTTGAATGTGCAATTTGCTTGCCACAATCGAGTGGAGTGTGGCACAGGCGAGTGGCCAAAAATAAAAGGAAAAAACACAGAGAGATACTATGTACATATGCATGTTGCCTTTGCCGGGTCTGTTTCGGTTTCTGTGGGCATGTCTGCGAGCTCGCATCAGTTACTTCATCTCTTATGTTATTTTGTTTCCAATTCGCTGATTAACAAGTTCAACAAAACACAGCAGCAACAACCAAAAAACCAACAGCAACTGTGCAGCTACTCCCCGTACTTTCGGTGCAAAGTTTTTGGCAGTGGCAGGCAGTCCGCCCAAAAGCCATAAAAAAGAAATGAAAATAAGCAATGCAATAAAAAAGATACAGCCAGAGGCCTGCACAATAATTGTCATTGTCTCCCAATGATTGTGTGACGTCATCGCGGCTGTTTATTGCATTCGAAATTGGGAGGAAATCGGTGGAGGAAATATTACGATAATTATGGGCTATTAGAAGTGCCTCCAAGGAGGGGCATTGGGATCGGAATTGGGATTGGGATTGGGAAAGCAGTTCGGTGAAAGTGGACAGAAGAATTCCAATTCGATTTGGCAGTCAGTGAAGGAGAGTGGCCAGGGGTAGGGGCAGGGGTAGGGGCAGTGATAGGGTCAGGGAGGCATAACCGAAACCCAATCCAGGCCATGCCAGGCCAATCCACGGTACACTGCGCTACCGGGTTTTGGGTGTAACGGAGACCATTTGACTAGTTAACGATATCGCACATTCACACAGCTGCCAATGCTGCTGCTGCTGCTGCTGCACGGCTTCATGACTTCTCCTTTCACTTGCGCTTGCCTCTGATTAGGGCCCTAGAGACGCAATCGCAATCATAGCCATACAAACCCGTACTTGCAGTCGTAAAACAATGCCCCAGACAACGACAAAGACTCCCCAGTTATCATGCTCTAGTGCCCAGATGCGTCTGTCTGCCTGAGAGAGGGAGAGATTGTCAGGGCCTGGCTGGGCAGACAAAAGCCTTATTTCGGACACCTTTTGTGGCCATTCACGTAGCTCCATTGTGGGGACATTTTCACACTCCAATTTCAGGCGGTATCTAATTATTGGGCAGCCAGCAAAGAAGATAAAGAAACGCAAACCTTTCAATTCTGAGTGAATCAAGAAATCAATTCTCGATGGAGAAACCCTGTATTTATTTTTGTTTTTGGGTTAGGTTTGGCAGCCAAAGAAACATTTTAATTGGGCTCCACGGCCCACGCTTTTACTTTTGGTCTTTGCTTTTCATATTTCATATTTTTGTATAAGCCTTAACGGCCACTTGGCCGGGCTCATTGGAAATGCCAGGCACACAAACAGCACACAGAGTCGGCAGTCAAAAAGCCAAAATCAAGCAATTATTTATGCCAAACGTAGGGAAGTTCTTGATGCGATCATTGCCAGCAAACCGCCAATGGGAAAGCCACACTCGATTCGAATCGAATCGATCGATCGTTTATAGCCTCTGCCTGGTTTTATTTCCCCCCCAATTTCCGCTTCTTACGATCAATAAGGGGGGATACGGATTAGCTGTGCAGCCAAATATAAATCGCAGATAGATTTAATATTTTTATTTTCCATTAACGCCCATTCATTCCACTTGACAGTCGCACGCTCGCACAGTGAGTGCTGTTAATTATGCGACCAGTTCCACATATGTACATACATAGTGCCACTTGTTGCGCCAGTTTCGCTCGCATGCTTACATAATAAGTAGAAAAAAAAATTATGATGAGTTCGCTTCGCTCTTCGTCTCTTGCGTCTATTTTCTGCCATTCTCTCTGCGGAGTAAGAACGTGTTAAAATGAAATTTAATTTAAGTATGAGAAGCAGGCGCAAAGACCCACGACTAATAGGCGGTTGCTGCTCTTTCTTGTGGCAAGACAAGTTAATTATGCAGATGATATTGCCATCCATGCCGGAGAGATGTGGGAACTCGACCTGAGGGCATCATTAGGCCACAGCCAGCATCGCAATATTCTTTCTCTTCTATTCTCAGTCTTTCAATTAGTTGGCGTGGGCGAACATTCAATAAAATCCACAAGATCTGAGGAAATTCTATAAGAAAACTCACGTGTGCGTGTGCTCTCTGTGTGTGTGTGTGGGTGCAAGCATGAATAAATTTACAAGGAAAATCAGTGAGGCATGCCATCTGCCAGCTTCGTTTCAGCAGGCAGTGTGGTGTGCGCCTTGTTCGGGCGCCAACTTTGCGCAGCCACTGTGCATGGAAAGCCACGCTTTGGTGCTGCTGCTGCCCGCCTGTTGCTGCCGAGCCACCGGCATCGAGTCGGACTCGAGTCAGTTCTGCATTAATGAGAGAGCAGTTAGGTACGCTCGCTCGCACGCTCCGTGTGGTCGTCTCCTCCATCCTCCAACGAAATCTATCCAGGTTCGGGTGCCAGTGCTCGTGTGTGTGTGTGTTCGTGTGTGTGTGTGTTGTGTGTGTGTGTGTGTGTGTTGGTGGGCTGCTCCAAATGAAAACTCACCAAAAACAGAAGAAAGATAAATCCGCTTGGAATGGAGGAAAAATCAAGCGGAGAGATAAATGAGAGAGAGAGATTCCCAATAAGAGTTTTCTTATTTGTGGGAAACTTGTTTCTCCTCTCGCTCTACACCCCGCTTCTGGTGGCTCTCTTTGGGCTGACGCTGCACCCCACTACTCCCCCTTTCACCTGGTTCTGCCGACCTCTCCCCGATCCCGCGTAGTCGATTTTCCCCCCCAATCAAATTCGTCTGTCGTCTGCGCAGTCGCACGTCGGCGCTGCTTCGGTGATGAGTGCACAGCGGATGCGCAGCAGACGAAACAGAAACATCAGCACAAACAGAAATAGAAACAGAGAAAGGAAACGAAATAAGAACAAAGAGAAATGCAAAAAAAGTGTAAAGTTTGAAACGATATCTAATCTATCTCTGATATGTGATCGATTCTGTGCAATCAAATTGTAATTTAATCCGCGAGGAGGTTTTCTCCCTTGAAAAAGTGTCACTGATACACCCCGATCGATACGTGCAAAATCGATAAAAGAAAACAAAGGCACAAGCTGCACAGATAATACAAATATATCAGAAATAAAATACAGACAGACAGCGAGAGAAAGAGAGACATTCAATAAGCGGTTCAGGGCCAGGCTCTAGCAGCATGAAGGTGTTGCCAATTTATTTTAAAAGTCTGCGCATTCGTCGTTGCCTTCGTTTTTGTTTTTTGTTTTTTTGTTGCTGTTGTTTTCGTCACGTGATAACTTGTTCCACATGCATTAAAATATTTATATTTTCTTGACACAAAACCAAATCAGCTTTGAAATGCTAAAAGTCGAGGCATTCATTTTTATAGACAAAATTAAATCAATTCTCCAATGTGGACCGACCGGAAGATCAACTCGTAACTGCATCAAATATTATTTTAAAATAAAATAAAATGTAATCAACTGCCGCGTAAATAATCATCTGTTCATTATGTTCCTTTTTTGAAAAACCCCCTAGATTTTTGAAATCCAAGCAAACCTCGCAATAAACGTAAATAACAAAAAATATTGTAATTATTGTAAGCCCAAAGAAGTTTCCAACAACAATACAAAAGTCCATTTTGTATGCAACAATCGACAAATGCATGAAAATGAAAAGTTCTGCTGCACCTATAAGCAATACAAGATCTGTCCCAAGATGGAGATAGCAACCACAAAGTATTTGGCCGACTATCTGTACGTGGTGCACGAGGATGTGCCCTTTCGATACTATCGCAAAGTAAGTGTCTGCTGGGGAATGCAGGAAGAGGGTGGGCTGCCAAACAGCTGTTCGGCGGGGTATGGGATGGGATCCATCATGCATGATATGGCACATACTCGGATGATATGTATATGCGATGCGATGCGATGTGATGTGATGTGCCCCCGTAATGATCGTCATCTCTGCACGCTCATAAACTTCAAACGCCGTTTGGCTCGGCTTCGCTGGGCGCTCTTTTAGCTTTTATTTTTTGTTTGTTCGCTGTTGTTCACTGTGCGGTTTTCGCTTTATTAACTGCGTTTACTTGGGCGTCGCGTTGTTACCGCTGGCTGTGTCTGTGGCTGTGGCTGTAGATGTGGCCTGTGGCTGTGGCTGATGCTGTGCCGTGCCTCTGCTGTTGGCAGTTCGTTTGTCTAACAGGGGAGCCTCTCTGCCGCCTGCTACCACCGCTCTCTTCAATGAATTTCACTTAATAGCGCTTGGCTGGCAAGCGATTTAATATACCCTGTACTGCTTAGTGGCTTAGAGGGTATAATGAGTGGAGAGGGGAGTTTAGATAGGTTCCTCCACAGCTACATTAGTACCTGAATTTAATTTAATTTAATTGTTGTAGCAACTGGACCACAAACAATGCTCGAATAGGGAACCCTAACTGAGGGAATTATTATATTGTATCTACTGTAGCCATTCTCCCCTTCAGCAGGGTTTCTACTTCCCTGGTAGTTAGCTTTAGCACTTGTCCCAGGGTATCTTTTAGTTGCTTAACTTACACTTCGTTTTGGGCTGCCAAAAACTAAGCAAAGTGTGGACTGTTGTTAGGTTGCTATTTGCTTGCTGTCTTGTCTGTCTTGTTTTTTTTGCGAGCGCAAATCTAATGGGCTTATGCTGTACATTTGCCAGATGACTTATTAGAGCCATGAACGAATTTGGACTCCGCTTAATAAGATCCCCCTCTTGCTGGGCTGCTGCTGGGCTAGGGCTAGGCACTTTCTTTTGCCGCTCACTGTGCCAGTGTGTGTGTGTGTAAAGCAAACACAAAGAACTAAGGCAAAGGCACACCGTTTGGGAAAGGGTGGGGGAAATTCAAGGAATATGAGCCGTAAGACAAATAAACAGAAAGCAAAAATTGTGTAATTAATGGAAATAAAGCAAACCATAGCGAAATTACACAAGTCGAAAGCGGAAGTGCCGGAAATGACAGCGCCAGTGTACATCGCTCTGTAGGTGTTTCTTTTTGTTGTTTGTTTATTTGAGACTTCTTTTTGTTGTTGTCTGATTCAGCCGGCGGATGCGACAAACCGAAACTCTGGGCTGTGACGGCTGCTACTGCTCTGCAGCAGCTTTCCTGCAGACAAAAAGAAAACCTCAAATGAGTTTGCATATGCCATCAGCAATTTGTCATTTGGTGTGTTTCGTGTTTGCCCAGCAACTGAGCAAACTTTCGGCCAGTTCATGTGAGCTCTTGCTTTCTTTCCACATAATTTGTTCTCTGCCAGCTCCGGAAAAAAGTGAAATATAATACAAGAGGTGGCTATACATATATCCGATTACACGGCTTTTCAGAAAAGAATGCAACTTCCCATTAGTTTCAAGAACATTTTGTGTACTTCTCATGCTCAGGCAATTAAAGTGAAATAGTATTTGAAATTTAGGAAGTCATCAAATGGTAAGAAATATAGTGGGACATCTTGAAGAATTGTTCTTAAGTTTGTGGAGATTTAGGATTAGTTTTTTTTTTTGCATCTGGCAGATGGGATTACATAAGGAAGGCCAGTCTCTTATGTCAGGAAGATAAACCATCAATGGGATAAATAAGACAGAAACATACATAATTTGTTATCAAACTATATTCAATGCATTTCTTTTAATACAATATTAATTATGCTCTTGCATTGCATTCTGTTCCGTTCCGTTCCATTCCAGACGAAATGCTCCGTTTTCCGCGGCCTTGTGCTCTGCCTGTGCCTCAACGTGAGCTTCGCGAATGTGGTTCGCTTCCCACGCGAGCTGGACCGCTATGGATCGGCGTATCTGGTGCCGTATGTGGTTTTGCTCTTTCTAGTCGGGCTGCCCATGATGCTGCTGGAGATATCTGTGGGTCAGTTTCTGGGCCAGGGGGCGGCGCACACTTGGCGCGCCTCGCCCATATTCAAAGGTAAGAAACACACACACACACACAGAGAGCACAACAGGTGGCACGCTGCCGGTGCATACTTTTAGGCGAAGCGTGCAACAGGTGCCTGCCTCCCTGCGTGTGAACTTTAAGCTGCGCCTGTGCATGTGCAGGACGAAAAGCTCACTCTTGTGGCAAAAGCTGCAGGCCAATGCGGATGCGATGCACTTGCTCTGCCTTGCAAGCGCGCTCGTCATTGTAATTCCCAAGCTGCAATTCCGGCAGTTTCCGCATAAATACCCGGATCCGGTGGACTGCTATTGGGCGGTCGAGCATTCCGGCAGCAAAAGACGGTTGGACACAGCCCGTCAATCCACAAAAACTCTCTCAAATTGTGTCCGTTGGTAGCCGAAGTTACGATTGCAACACTTTCGTCATCCTCTTCTCTCTCACTATCTCTCCCCGCTCTCCCGAGCAAACACAAAGCCGGAGCAGGCTCCTTCCCTTTACCAGGGGAGGAGCCAGTGCAAGGGCAAAAGCACAAGGAGCCACTTAATAAGCAACAAGCAAAAGCAAAAGTAAAAACGCAAAAAAGCAAAAAGCAAAAAGAACAGAAGGAAGAACAGAAGGGAAACCGAAACCAAAATAAAAATGAAAAATGAAAAATGAAAAAAGATAAAGAGAAAAGAGCAAAACAAAACAAACACACAAAAAGTCTAACATTAAATCACGAACATAGAGGATTTGGCCAATGACAAAGGAGGAATATCAGACCAAAGTATATCAATGCGAACAAAAAAACTATAAAAGAATACATAAAAAATACACTAAAAAAATGAAGACTAACCTAAATGTGACCTAGTAGATAATGTATGTTCATCATCGTGTGTTATCAGGACAAACTGCAAAAACTCTGAAAAAAAATCGTACAAAAAAATATAAAAACTTCAAAATGCATTGGTGTGTGTGTCCCGTTCGTGTAATCGCCGACGCACCAAATCCCCGCCACACGCCCGTGCCACACAAAAACCGCCTCCTCTCCGTCCCCGACCCAGCCATCCAGTGGGTAGACGGGCATAGGTAGCACCAGCTCTCCGGGTCGTCAGGAGCGCTTCACAGCCGACTTCTAACACGGCCACCCCACCATCATCGCAGACCATCGCGCAGATGCAGATGCAGATGCAGAGCAGCGTAGCAGCAGATTCCTGTGAGCGGCGCCCCCCGTCGCCCTCTGCCCTAAGGGGTTTGCGCGCTGGGAACGGCCGGCGGTGGCACTAAACGGTACGGTTCGAGTCTGGCTGAACAGGAACAGTCAACAGCCGGCTCGGACCGGACCACGAACCCGGAATGGCGTGGGATGCGGTGCGTCCACAAAAATAACCATAGAGACGTTTAAGGCAAATTCTAAATGAACAAAAGTATAAACCAAAAGCCAAAAGCAAAACCAAAAACAATTGTAACGAGAAACAAACGAATTCCAAAATATATATATGAGCAATAAGAGCAACAAACCCTATAAAGGCAAAGAGCAAAAACGACAACTGCAAATTACGACACAACACCTTCGAAAACGACCTCAGTATAAATATATAACAAACAGAAGCAAACAACACCACGTACATATGTAACATGCGCTATGTGGCTGTGGGAATGCCAGCGTTGTATCGCCCTTTTTTTGCGGATTTTGGATGGAAACAGCCCGCCCGAGAGAGCACCCTCCATAATCGGTGGGTGTAATTTCTAGTGGGAATAAGAAGAGGCAGCGGCAGGATTATGAAACCTTTGGACAACGCCTTAAACCTTCCGATGGGTATCCTATATATGGTCGGAATTTATAGGTAAATGTATGAATGATACTCTACCATCACAGCAATCGAATGATTCAGGGAGGGTGTGCATGAACATAGAACTGAATCAATTATTGGCCTACTCTTTTGGCTCTTTCGCCTTAACAGTACACACGAGTATTTCCATTGCCAGGCAGCGGCCAAACGGCACTGGCAAATAACGGAATTGACAAATGAAGAAAGAGAAAACGAATACGAATACGAAACCAATGAACAATTGCATAATTAACTCCCAGTTGAAGTCAAAGAAAATACAGTTGCGCCGCCGTTGAAGTGGAGTTGGGGGAAAAAACTCATTTAAATAATTAAATTAATATTTTCGAATGATCATTTGATGCCTTTGAACACTTGTCAATGCCAACTGAATGGGTCTAGGAACTCATTCCATTCCGATTTGTGTGTTCAATACATTAACAGCGTTTTTGGTGCGCTCTTAAGGTCGAATCGATCTGGTTTGGCGAATTAGTTATAAGTTATAAATGTAAATGTAAACATAACAAAAGTCTCGTTCTTTTTATGGACACCTTTGACAACTAGTTTTCACTGGGTGGGAATTTTCTGCTTCTGCTGGTGCTGCTTTTGCCATTTAAATGACAAAAAAATAAAGTAATTTAATTAAAATACAAAAAAGGTGTTTCCACTCTTCCGCAAAGCAAAGCCCCAGGGGGGAAATGCTATTCCGTAGGCGTAAACATATAAACCCATAATAAACATTTGTGATTTCTGCTTTTAGGAGCCTGCATCGTGAGTCGCTTCGCCTCGTGGGTGTCCGCCATTTGGGTGTCCCTGCAGGCCGTGCTGGCATTGGCCTACATCGGGATGTTCGCCTCCAATGCGCTGCCATTTCGCGAGTGTGCCGGACCCGTCAAGCTGAGAACGGTACGAATAAAACCTCTGGAAATTATCTTAATGAATGCCAGAATCATGTGTAGTTGGTTTCTTACAGAATGGCTACCTGGTGACGGGGACCAGCGGACAGGAGTGCCTGCAGCTGACCTTCCTGACGCCCTTCTGGCGTAATCCACTGTACTTTGGCCTACTGGCAGCCGGCCTGATTGGTCTCTGGATTGTGGTAATGCTGTGGTGAGTATTGCAATGGATTATCACCAAGCTGTACCGCTCACACCTTCCATTTCGTAGCACCCACAATGCCAAGATACTGCGTCGCAGCCTGTTCGTCTATGGGCTGAGTGGCTTGGTCCTGCTCTGCGCCCTCACCGGATGGGAGGTGCGCAACTCCTTCAGCCGCCACTACTTCCCAGAGCTGTGGGGCTTCGATGCGACGCTGCTGCTCGAGAGCAACATCTGGTTCAATGCCCTGGTGCAGGTGCTCTTTGCGCTCAACTGCGGCTTTGGCGCCCTGCCCATGATCACCGGCAAGTTCCTGTACAAGGGGGACGCTGTACGCACCTCCGTGGTGTATCTCTGCTTCAACCTGCTGATCAATGCCATTGCCGTGACCCTGTTCATGGTGCAGTTCGATCTCTCCGCCAATGGCTACCAGATAATGGAGGAGCTCAAGCCGCTGACGGCTATCTACGACCGTGTCCTGAACGGCTCCAGGGAGGGGGAGAGCGATCTGCTGCAGCACCTTGTGCCCGCCCTCATCTACGTTCTGATCATCCTCTCGGCCATGGTGTCCATCACGGTGGCCGTGTACACGTCGACGCGCCTGGTGCCGCGGCGTCCCAACTACGTCATCTGCCTGATCGCCCTCGTTGTGGCCGTCATGTCCTTTGCGGCGCCCAAGTTCATCATTGCGCGGGTGCTGGACTCGCGCCTCGTGGGCACCATGGTCGTGACTGCTCTGGTCTTTGAGCTGATTGCCATAACTTGGATCTACGGAGCCAAGAACATCTACACGGATCTGGAGTTCTCCATCGGTCGGCCCATCTTCAAGGTCTGGATGTTTCTCTGGGTCACATGTCCGGCCGTGCTCACGGGCATCCTGGTGTGGTGGTGCGCCGACGACGACCAGTACGATCTGCTGTCGGAGTACCTGCCCCGCTGGGCGCCCATACTGTTCGTCCTGGCCGTGATCCTCATCATTGCCTGCATCCAGATCTTCCGCCAGGTGGAGTACAACTTCTTCGGCATGATCTGCGAGGCCTCCAAGCCGGCCAAGGAGTGGGGTCCCGCCGATCCGCTTGCCCGCCACTCCTGGAAGCAGTGGCGCTCCGTCTGCCAGGACACGGGACGGCGGGACTTTACGCTGCGGCGACGCGGCACTCGCGACTACACGCACTCCATCAAGAAGGGCCAGTACACGAGTGCCCAGAAGTACGGCGTCCAGAACGGCGGACAGACACAGACGCCGATGCACCAGACCCACTGGAAGTCCTCCACGCCGGGCAACAGTTCGCCCAACTACAGCGGCTCCATGTTCGGGGACTCGGCCATCGAGGAGGACATCAGCGTGGACAAGTTCCCGGGCATCACGCAGCAGCATCAGCAGCAGCAGCAGCAGCAGTATGTGCCATTCCAGGCCAGCGATGCCAAGCCGATGAGATACTCCCAGCGCATGCGCCAGACGGCTCAGCCCCAGACCCTCACACGGCTGCCTCCAGCAGCGGAGGCGGCGGGACCCACCACTGTGGAGAAGCACCGCGAGGTGGTGTACATCCGTCGACTGTCCGACGGCGGCACTGGCTCCGGCCACGCCACCCGCATTGAGATTTCGCCCTCGAACGAGTCCATCACCTACGGCAACGGCAAGACCAACAACAACTCGGCCCTGGCCATGTCCAGGAATCCGCTGGGCCGCTCCACGGGCTGCCTGGCAGCCACACAGCCGCCGCCACCGCCCAGAGTCCACATCAAGCGGTCGGCCAGCTCGGTGGTGAATGTGAATGGGAAGCTGCCACCGCCTACATCCGCTGCGGCCGGGGATCACATCTGCTGGCGTAAGTTCAACGTCAATCCGGAAGAGTATTCCACGGAGCTGTGAACCGGAGTGCAGAACCGCAGGAGAAAACGAAGCATTCACATTCAAAAAGACTTGTTGCATCCAAAAGAAATGTATCTGTAACTATAAGCTGTACGGCAGGCAGTATTGCGTCTGCATCTGGATCTGCCCCCTATCGATGTAAGCTACGAATAACGAATTATGCCCAAAAGGCAGAGTAAAAGTGTATCTTCTAGTTCCGAAACTGTACATAGTGAGAGTAGTGAGAGGAGAGAGCATGTCTAGATATAGTTCTACGATCTAGTTCCCTAGCATAAGTCGAGAAAATTCCGTTGTCATTACGCCCATCTGGAGAGTAGGAGTATCTGGAGTAGATCCGCACTGGTCTACCAGTGCAGTGTATTAGTCTAAGCACTTGATACATATGTATGGAAACCATTTAACGTTTAAACCCATTAATTATACATAGTTTACTTAACCGATTACGCCTGAACGAGTGGATGATCCGAGTGCCTGAATTAAATGAATTATGAATTATGCATTAAGAATCCTATGTAGAATCCATAGACCTAGACTCAGCTCCTAGTTAGTCCCTTAGTCTGACACAGTATCCTAAGAATCGGAATCCGATGTTAAGTTAATTTGTGAACACAACGATGTCGAAAACGATCTTATATAATAATAAATAGAAGGCTTAGTAAATTATGATTCTCTCCGTGTGTGTGTGTTCCATCTGTTTGGCATTCCAAAATATCAAAGTTCACCTCTGCCACCACCACATTAATTGATGCTAAGTTTGCAGCGCAGCCCCCCAGCCAGCACACTTTTACTTAAATATATTTTTCGAGAGCCATTAATCGAAGAACCAGAATCTTAATTAGCATACATGCTCGAACATGATCGGTGGATCGTGTCTGGGTCCTAAAATATATGTTCCTGCCAGTTCCTTGCGCCATAAATTTGGCCCCAACAATTGCACAACATTTTTGTTCTAAACGTGCAAGCAGATTTTTTTTTGCTGACAAGAGAACTTTCTTTAAATTGCAATTAAAATAGCTGTGCTGTATAAATGCCATCCCGTTTAATATGCAGAGCAAGTTATAAGGGGAGGATGATCACAAACAAAACGACAATCGTTTATTTATGGATATATCGATTAAACAGAAAGTTGTGTGTGTTGGACATTTGCCTAATGAATTGAACTGGATCTGAAACATTTGCGGTACTTGGCTTCGGCTTTGGCTTTGGCTTCTAGTTTAGTTTATTTATAGGCGGCAGTTGGGGAATACTTTAGGATCAGGTTTGGTGGGGTTTTGGGTACCAGATGATCTTTAAGTAAGCGACTAAAAGGATGTCGTACCTTACTTTAAATTGATTTTAATTGATGGCTTGTAATTGAAATATTACACATTTAATGTTGTAGCAATTAACTCTGATCTTTAAGGCTAGACCACTGAATGGGCTCATCAATATGCATACTTGGATGTGTGTTTTTTGGGCTCTCTCAGCGGGAGGGCCTTGAATCGGGCATATCGAATGGTTGGAACAAGCGTGTGATGTATGGCTCAGGTTAATCGATTCCACATCAAAATATAGTTTAGCCAAGCGGCAGAAGTGCATGCCGAGAGGATGGATGGCACCCATGATGGAATATCATTAGGCCAGCAAACTAAGCAACTAAAATGCTAATCGATTGATGCCCAAGCAGGCACAAGATACATCTGTATCTTTCAGGCAGCATACTTGCACGCATATTGATACCAGTAGACACCAGTAGATGGCAATACATACACACTTATGTATATGTTGCTTCCTCTGTTTTGCATAATACCCAGAGGAGAGTGAGTGAGTGAGAGAGAGAGAGAGAGAGAGAGGCCGCAGATAATTTTGTGGTTACGAATCTTGTATTACCAGCTGACGTATCTGCTAACTGATGAATTTTATACGAATTTGAAACACTCGAGGTGAACTTGATTTTGTTTGGCGGTGCTGTTGCTGCTGTTGCTTTGACTGTTTGTTGTTGCTTGATGTTTTTTTTTTTTTTGTTTTTTGTTGGATAGAAGCATCTATGTCTAAATGGAGTTAGATGCCATGCAGAGACAGGAGAAGGAGGTACGGGGCAGGGGACAGCGACAGAGTCGAGCGACGAGTTTTGTTTTGCCGTTTTTTTTTATGATTTTATTTTATATGAAAATTCAAATTAAAGCTAATAAATACTTAGGCGTTCATTGTGGCGGCTCAGAGCCAGACTCGAGCTAGATGTGGCTTTATCTGAAATTCATTAGAAAACTGGTCCAACTAACCTTCGAGCTGGGAAGAAGCCCCAACGGGTGGCTACGGCGGGGGACTTCACATGCTGATTGACGGATTGCATAATCCAATTAAATTGGCGATAAGTGCCAGAGATGTGTGGTGTCAAGTCGTCGAGTTAATGCCAACATATTGGGGCAAGGCAAGGATACGGTTAGCATTGCTGATGCGATTGTGCTGCCATGTAGCCTACTTTTTGGGTAGATCTGTCGAAACTTTTTGCCTGCTCTGCCCCAAAAAAAAAACATGGCCAAGCAATGCGGAAGCCAGCGACAGACACCTTACCGTGCTGTCTCTTCTGGGAAATAGATGGATGGAAGTGTGGTCTGGGAACCTCAGACAACAAATCAAAAACGCCACAACTGAAATTTACGGCTCACTGAAAATAATGAACTTGTGGCTTGGTGGGGTGCCACTGCCACTTCCACTGACACTGCAGAATCGTGTTCGCATCGCACGCTGCCAAGATCAGACGCTTTCGCAGGCCACCGCAAATCTCCAGACATCGATAAATTATTACAAATAAATGTGTATATCGGGTCGGATCAGTCTGTGTTACCTCATGAAGCTTCTTTTTAGAAGACACGAAATGAGAGGGGCTGCCTAAGAGGCCCAGAACGAATTGAGCAATACCCTGCCTGAACTATTGGATAATTTTACATCATAAAGATAAAATATTGATGCTTTTCTGTAGGTATCTTTCTTGTAAATTGATATAAAATACACTTCCCTTGATATCAAAGGGTATAAATTAATAAAAATGAAAAATTTGCGTGTTTGATTTTTAATTTGGATTTTTGGGCGTAGAATTGTCGCTGCCTACAAGATGCTCAAATAAGTAAATGGCTTTAAATTATCTGTGCTGGGCCAACGAACCAGTTGGCTATGGAAATGAGGCGATATAACCAGTTGGTAGCCATAGGCCACAGTTCCCAGTCCAGTTACCATTCAAGTCCAAAACAAATGAATTTTATTCGAAATTAATTTTCGATTTGTGTTTCTTCTTTTTTTATTCGTGTAGAATTTATACAGCCCCTGCTTCAGCATTGGCTTAAGTCTGATCTGTATACTTTTATATGTACCTAATTTGTATATATTTTATTTTGTATTAAATTTCAGCTTAAAAGTCGGCCCATGCCCATCAGCCTTGTGGAACGAGCAACGAGCGAACGACGCGTGTGGATCGAGCTGAGATGCTCCAATTTCTGACTTTATTTGCACTCCAAAGTGTTTCTGTCTCACATATAAAGTATCTTTGTGGTTGCAGCGCCTTGAGTGGGCTAATTCACAAGCTGCCTGAGAGATGGCAGAGGTGAAGTGCACTCTCGAGATGGCCATTAATCAAGTCAAGAGTCTCGGCTTCCGTTTTGACCCAAGTCTCGTCTCTCTAGAGGTTGTTCGGTGTCTGTCCCCCTTAAGTGAATAATTGGTTCAATTTGGTTCTTGATCTCCGACTGCCAGTAATGTGAGCCAAACTATCTGCTGGTTGGAAAACGATCGAACTTTGATTAATGTTGAATCCGTGGGCATCTTGTAGATTCTGGATAAGATGAAGCAGCCCGAAAACTTTCGCTTCGAAAGGCCAAGCAAGTTTGTTAAACTTTCAAGGGTCACTCGGTTATGTAATGGCCCGACGCACCACACCACACCGCAGATTCTTCTGGGTAACAGGTTTGTGCCCTCACCTGTGCCCCCACCTGTCCTCCAGCCGCACACAGCCGTGTGAGTGTGACCCTCAGCGATTCCCCCTAAAAACCGTTCGGGTGTTTCATTTAAACGCGGCAAGGATGCCAATGGCAATGGCCCGCAATCGTGGCCCATAAATTGCTGGCCAAAAACAAAAACAAAAATAAAAACCAAATCAAACTGGTTAACGCTCTCGCCTGCCGGTGTCCTTGATAAGGCTTATTAATATATTTTTTTGGCTCTCGGGCGGGGAAAAACACGTTTACTTCGCCGGACCGCCTTTAATTTTGAATTGAGCGTAGCCGATGCGCTGCAGGTTTTTCGGATTCGGTCACATTTCTCGACTATACGCGAATTGCAAATGGTATTTATTCATCGACTCGGAATATCCATTAACTAAATGCCGTTAGCCAATTGTTTATACGATCGACAGACAGCGGCGGGGCTGGTTGTAAACATTTATTCAAACATTTTAATATTCATAAATTATCATGTACTGGTGGTCGGGGTGGGGAAGGGGTAGGGGTTCTCTATCAGTATCAGAGCTAACTGCTATTTTTATTGATCGAATTTGAACGGAAAGTTGTTGCAAAAATTTATTACAATTTTATTGGGTTATCGTAAAGAGTTGTTCACTCGATAAATAACATTTATTTGATTTAATGAAACGACTGCAAATGCTGGCAGTCCCATTCATTCTAGGAATTAACTTTACATGAATGGAATCCAAAAACCCCATGGGGAATTTATTGTTTGTGCCAAGGCTTGGCTGAGTCCTTGGGGGCGGTTTCCTTTTCAAACTGTCAAACTTGAAATTAACTTCCTACGAATGAAAGACTGAAGTATAATAAACCAAGTTCGTTGACTTCTCTTATGAAATATTATTCATATTTATCACAATTCGCTGCTGGAGGGGATTACATCATCATGTATGTATAAATATATTTACAATAAAATGAAAAAGATACCAGTAAAAATAGTGGATAAATAAATAAATAAAAATAAATTCAATTAATTAAATACGAAACCTAAGAATTGTATATTCTTAATTGTTTTCTCTTTCATTCATGTTCACATTCAATGATTATTCTGGCATAAAGAAATGCTTTCTCGTTCTATCAAAAACGTCCATCGTACTCTCAACCCGAGAAACTTTCCTTTTCGATCGCTCTAATTCGTCTTAAATTCAGCCAGAACCTTCCATTCCATTTTCAACTTCCTACACTGTTGTACACCAGAAACCCAATCCAAGCAAATTTCATAGCCAAATAGCAGAATGGGGAAACTAGTTAGTCTGGTTGGATGTTTTGTTTGGATGGCGGATTTACATAAATATAAATCTTAAGCAGAAGACAATATGGACCGCCTTGAGTTGAGGTTTGAGAATAGAATCCGTGTAGAATCGGCCTCTGAGACGCGGACAAATACCTCCTCATGTATAAGGGATACATTTGCATAAATCATAAGCACAATTAACAATGTTGAGGCGCTTGTTCTTGGCCATATGCTGACTGCTGACGCAGGTGACGTGACATTTGACTCGTAAATTTATACGATTCCCGCCGCTTAGATCCGCCAAATTTGAATAACCACGCACTTCTGTGACTTTGCCTCTCAGATCGGTCTCAATCTCAGGCCTCATCCTCAGCGTACAAGGCGCGGAAAGGGGCGTCTTATAAATATTCAGTGAAGACTCTCTGCTATCGTTCTTCGGCGAACACTTTTCATTAGGCGCGAGTTGCCAAGAGACTCGATTTCAATTTTAATGGCCTGTGCGTGAGGGCATTTAATTTGCACTGGGATTAGATAAGCTCCGCGTACTTCTACCTGAAATGTGTCGCCGATTTCGAAGCGTTTTATATGACAGTCTTTAAAGAACTCATTGGGCTTAGCAGGCATTTCAATTGACTTGATAAATGAGAATCAAATGAGGAATAGGCAATGAGAAGTCTACCCTTTTCCCTGTTCATTGCTGTTACTAGTCTGAAGAGACCCTAAGAGACCCCCTCCCAAAGCTTCCTTCATGAGCACACTTCCTAGTCCAAGCATTATCAAATAATCACTGATGAAACATCTTTGTGTTAAGTCCAACACCCATCGGAAATAGCTGCGAGTCGGAGATCTTATGGTTGATAAAACTGAAACCGAATCGAAATTTTGTGTTCATGATTTCCGCACCCGAGACAAAAGCCGCCCAAGCAGCAAACACCCAAAATAAACATACATAGGCTCCGCTCAGATTTTAAAAGTTGCTAATTCTCTTAGAGAACAAATGGGTACCGGGGAGGGGTGAGGGGCGGGTCTAAACGTAGAACCTGGTTGGACGGGCACATGTCAGGGACATGTTTGAATTGTTTCGTAATTTCGTGCCGGATTGTCCTTCGATGTGGACCAAAATACGAGGCAACTGATGCTCATCGCATGCCTGGGCATACGTTGAATAATCTGTTGTCTGTTGCAACGTCCGATGATGCGACAAAAAAAGGCTTTTCCTCTAGACGGTATTCGGTATTCGGACGAGAAGTTTTCAGCACAAATAGAGAAGAGTAGCAGGCGCAAAAAAAAAACACTTGAATTTCCCGCAATGACAAATTTGAAATGTCAGCAGTCGTCGCCAAGTGTCATTGCCTCTCCGGAGGTGACGAGGAGGAGTTGGGGATGGAGTTGGGGATGGAGATGGAGATGTGCAAAGCAAGTTATGACCCGAATTGTTGGCCAGCTGGAGGTTTCTCATCGCTTATGCAATTACAGCCGAGAATTAATTGCCGCCTGACGGTCGTCTTTGTCCACTTAGATAGAGGGTGACTTCCTCAAGTCTTAAAGTCCCAAAGTGTCTTCTGGGGTCTAATTACGCGATGATCTCTAGCCCAGTACGCCCATGAATGAATGGCCGGCCACGCACTGCCACTGGCTCTGGCTTTGGCTTTGGCCAAAAGAGTCCATGGCTTTGGCTACAGGGGCTGCTCGAGCTGGAGGAGGCACCGCACTGCACTGTGGGCGTCTGGCTGATTGGTTCATTAAAAGCCAAATGCTCGGCGTGACTGCTTTTCATGAGCACAAAAATTAATAAATTCTAGTTATTAAGCATAAACAAAATACAGCAAAACTGCAGGCGATGACAAACTCTGACTCTGACTGAAACTCGTTTCGGTGTCAATCGATGAGCGGGGCAGAAGAATGATCAGCCGCAGCCGCAGCAGCAGCAGCAGCAGCAGCAGCAGCCTCCGCCTCCGTCTCAGATGCAGCTTCAGTTGGGTTTGGGGCGCTTCTTCGAGTGGCGATCCGATCACAGAGATCAACTCAGAGAATGAATCTCCAAACAAGCTGTGTGTACGTACGCGTCTAAAGGTCATTCGGTTATCCGAGTCAGAGATGACGCTCGCGGTGGGGTGGCGGTGTGCCTACCTTAACATTCAACACTCCACTCTGCTGACCCCCAGACTCACGCACGCACCCAACAATCAGTCGCGAAGTCAACCGGTTCAAGTTCCTCGGGCGAAACTGCATGTAGGCCTAAGCGTCCGAAGCCGGGGTAATTGCCATTAGCCAACGCCTGATCTTCTCACATCTCTACAGCTCCACGTCGTATACTGCGAGGCAAGTATTTGCCTTGGCAAGCTCCGACGGGAGCCTTGACTCGCCACTACTGACAATCGATTGATGAAATTGATGAAATTTTTGGTCTCTGCTCGAAGCTGATGCTGGGCATTTTGCATCCAAGACGTTTACAAAATTAAACGCTGCATGACAAAATGTTTAACACTCGCTGGTACAGTGGGCGCACTCTAAGGGAGAGCGTTTACTTTGCTTGAGTCAGGTTTTCTTTGAAATTCAAAGAGTGTGCTTTATTGCCATGACAGAGATTAGATTTCATATTATCTTAACAGCCTGTATATCAATTTAGGTCGGTGATATACCTATAATATTTAGAAATATGTATGGATTAATATTGAATAAGCAAGGGGAAATAGTGGCAGATGAATAACAACTAATAAAGCGTCTAGAACTTCAGGAAAACCAGTTGGTACTAGTTAGGGAAGGTACCGTCCGCCCTTGACTGTGCATCCAGAATGTTAATTTTATTTCGAATTTAGTTCTGTTTCGAGCAATTAGATCCTCAATGGTTTAGCCCATTAACTTTCTCGTACAACACTCGGGCTAAGCAACGATAAGGAAGATTGTAAATCAGCTTTAAAATCTTCTTTTGCGACGTTTGAAACTTTTTTATGTGCAGCGCAACTTCCACAAATCTTAGAGCCGTATAACAAAGCGGATAGAAAGATTAATTTTAATTAATATGAAGACTTAGTTTTCGGGCGCAAGCACTTCTTAAGCCAAAAAAAAAATATGACTAATCATATATGAGTACAGTAGAGGTAAGTTCTGTTTGCTTTACAGAGCTTTGACTGTACCTATAAGCTGCTGTGTGCCAATATCTGAATCAATTTGAATATTTTTCCCTTTAGAAATCATTAACTGACCTTAAAATCATCTGCATAATCGAACTGCAAACCTTCCGTTCGCTGTAGAGGGTTCTTACGCTACATAAAAGTTGAAATTGTTGCCAAAAACTGAGCAAAAGGCATCTGCAAATTGTGTTTGCCCGCATCAAAGGCAGCTAAATAGTTAAGCCAACAGCAAATTGGCCAAGTTAAGCATGCGGTAGTTCAAGTAGCTCGTACAAGTAGCTGCTGCCGCATCAGGTTTGTTATAATTGCTGCTGCTGCTGCTGCTGCTGCTTTAGGGCTTTACTCGAATTTTTGGCCAACTGATGTTAGCCAGTCTGTTAACTCCCAAACATCTCAAACAAACAGAGACAGCAAGCAGCGGCAGCGGCAGCGGCCATGTCTGGGTCTGGGGACTGGTTAACCCGCCTGGTCAGCCTCGGCAGACGTCGCGACGCGTCGACGCTGGCAGAGAGCCGTCGCATCTTCATCTTAGCCGCGCTTTCGGTTTCGACCGCTGCCTTCTTCACCACCTCTGCTGTTGAAGTTGCTGCTGAGGCTGCTGCTGCTGCGGTCTGGGGCGAGTGTTAACAGCTGTCGCCCAAGTGAAGAAGATGCCTCTGCTGCTGCCGCTGCCTCGGTTGACGGTGGCGTTGCGGCGTTGCTTTTCGGGCAGATGGCGATGGCGATGGCGGGGTCCGAGTATATATAGAAAATCCGCAAGTTTTGATGCTTTAGTTGGTATTCCACACTCGACCTAGAAGTTAAACCAACTTAGCTGGGCATCGATCAAATTCAATTGACCATTGAATTTTGATACGATCGGTCGCGTCCCCGTCAAGGATTACGCACAAAAAGGATTACCAAAACGAAATCGGGATTAATTTCAGCAAAACCTCCTGTCTCTTCGCTCCAGTTCGAGTTCGAGTCCGAGTCTCTACAGCTGCCGCTTGTAGCAGTCAAAAAGTGTACATCATGGTAAAGCAACCCAACCTAGTTTCAATCAAAACGAATCAAATCTCCCCCACTAAAACCAACAATAATTACTCGTATTGTGCGCAAAAAAAAGTGTCCAAATAAATCAAGTGTCCCTCGGTGTGAAGACAAATAAGACAAGAGACAAGAGTAGATAAGAGTTTCGCAAAAGGAAAGAGTATCGGCCGCAAGCATGAGAGCAACACAAACAGCCAGGGAAATAGGCAAATAAATTGCTAAAGCACCGACCGACTGACTGCTGCTGCAGCTCGATTCCAATTCCAATTTCAATTCGAATCTATTTGCATTTTACATTTTAAAAGATTGTCGGATCTGTCGGACCCAAGAGCTATCTCTCCGTTGATGCCCAGTTGACATTTAAGCGGCTAAAAGTGGTTGACCGTAGAAATTGTGCAAGTGCCAAAGCAAGTCTCAAGCAAGTGCCATCCGAGTGGACGTTTGTCGAACGAGTGCAATGTTACGCATGCGCCGTGTGGCCCGCCCACAGAGCCACAAATCATCTCTTGGCTGGGTTCGCCTCCGCTTTGGCCAAGCTTAGCATTTGCGTATTTAGCCATTAGGAGATGGCCTGGGTACAGCTGCATTCTGCCACTTTGGCTGCCGTTTCTATGTCAGCATTGACATGACTGCAGATGAAATTAAAACTTGTTTATCTTTTTTTTTTTCTACTATTTTTCATAAATACATTTCGCTGGGGCTTCTGACATTTGCAAGATTTGTAATTGGCGTATTTAGGTAAATAGCCATAAAAACGCTTCGCTTGCCAGCAGCAGCAGCATGTCCCAGTTGTCCAACCCAAGACTAAGATTTTCTTTGCCAACAGCTGCTCTTTGCTTGGGTTTTTTCTTCTCCTACCGAAGGGCTAAGAGCCGCTAAGTTCAGTGCGAAATCGTTCTCCAAAAAGGTGCCCGCAATGATCTTAGCTCCGAGACTATCTCACAGCTGCGTCTGTCATGATTGTCTTAAGGTCTTGCCCTTGAATTGGCTCTGCCCTCGATGCAGTGTGAATCCGATTAATTAGCTGCTCATTAGCATGATGGAGAGTCAAGGGAATTAAGCCAGCAGCTTCAATATATCGATGAAACGCCAGTGTCCTTTCACTTTCGAGGCAGTAGTTGAAGTGCCAACAATTCTCAGCAGATAAGTAAAAACATAATTGGAAGGATTCTGAAACTCCTTTTGTGTGTGGGGTCGGCTTTTTTTTTTTTTTTTTTAAATGAAAATTTAAACAAGTTAGAACTGCCAAACGTTTCGGGTTCATTAGCATAAATAATTTTAGATCATTTACATAAAAAATCACAAAAAAGAAAAAAACCAGTTGAATATTTGTCGAAATTAGCAAGCCAACAAAAAGACAATGTTGGGGTGGTGCTCATCTGCTCATCTGCTCATCGCTGTATTTGTTATAATCCAACAGAATTTGTTATAAATGACACTCGAAGCTGCCTTCTTTTTTTATTGTTTTTTTTTTTTTTATTTTATGGCTGTGCGTATGCTAATTTTTGATTTTAGTTTTTCTCACTATTTTTTATGGTTTGGTCTTGGCTGATTATTATATAATCATTGTCTTCTTGTCTCTGGGGCCTTCTACGTAGAACTGGTCTGTCGCTGTCGCTTGGGAAGGTCCGGTTTCTGGCATATTAATCAGCTATTTATATAACAATCCCCAAAAATTCTGCGATGGGCTATTAATCGAGCTCATCGACCATCGGATCGGGTATCGACGACCACTTTCATTAGCGTTGACAGAGACAGAGACTAGCCGATGACCTTGCAGCGACAAATGCAAATGAATACTCGGCGACTCGTACTCACTCGGAGACATTCGAACGGAAGCCATAACTCAGAGCCAGTCGACAGCTTCCTCAGCTTTAGCTTCAGCTTCAGCTTGAGCAGACTGTCGTTTGTCGCCGACCATCTTCACTCATCGCATTAGCATTATGTTTTAATTACACGAATCTGCGAAATTTACTAGGTCTACAGACCAATCATCAATGGCGCCTCAGAGCAAGCCTCTTGGGGTAACTCTATCCACTATCCATGACCTAGAGCTGCTAATGACTGTCAAAGTTGAATGTCTGTGTTAAAGTTTTCGAGTGATTTTCAATGCATTTTATGGTAATGTGTCTGCGACTGATTTGAATTCTTCACCCATGGCTGTGACTCGGGCTGAACTTTTCAAGAGTTTTGACCCACAGGCCGCAGAGGGGCAGGCGGCGGTTCGGCTCGGCCCGGCTCGGTTTTGCCTTGCCTCGTCTCCAAATCGGGCCAAGCTGCCACGAAGCGTGAAGCGGCGATTAGTTCTTATAAGGCGATCGGGCAATTAGCCGCAATCAGCCGCTCGTTAGAGCCAGTTAATAGTCGGAGACACTTGAACCTCCTTGCCACAGCTTGATTTACCTCAATTTATTCTAAACCGAATATCTCTCCTCTTTTTTCCTTTCCTTTCCTCCACAGAGAAGTGCACTGTACGTCTTGGCGCTTTGCGCTGTGGCGGTGGCCACCGCAACGGCCGACACGCATGTGGTAAGTAACCCCGTCCCACGAAGACCCAATCCTGAAGATCACCAACTAAAGAATCCGTCCATTGCAGCGTAAGGTCCGTGCCGCCGACGGGTACTTCTACCCCACGCCGAAGGTGCCGTTCGATCTGCCCCCACGCACCACTGAGGCGCCCTACACCCGTCCGCCCACGACGAGGCCTCCGGTAACTCGCGTGCCAGCCACGTACTTGCCTCCTACCAATAAGCCAGCACCACCGGCCACGACTCGTGTGCCACCGCCACCACCACCGCCAAGGACACCACCCCCAACCAGGCCAGCGACTCGTCCTCCAACACCACCTCCAACAAGGCCAGCGACTCGTCCTCCAGCAACTTATTTGCCACCCACAAACAAGCCTGCACCACCGGCCACGACTCGTGTGCCACCGCCACCACCACCGCCAAGGACACCACCCCCAACCAGGCCAGCGACTCGTCCTCCAACACCACCTCCAACAAGGCCAGCGACTCGTCCTCCAGCAACTTATTTGCCACCCACAAACAAGCCTGCACCACCGGCCACGACTCGTGTGCCACCGCCACCACCACCGCCAAGGACACCACCGCCAACAAGGCCACCTACTCGTGCTCCAACTCCACCTCCAACAAGGCCAGCGACTCGTCCTCCAGCAACTTATTTGCCACCCACAAACAAGCCTGCACCACCGGCCACGACTCGTGTGCCACCGCCACCACCACCGCCAAGGACACCACCCCAACCAGGCACCTGCTCCAACCCCCTCCAACTCTCACCCCCACACCCCCCCCACCTCCCCCCTCCACCAACCTACTTGCCACCCACAAACAAGCCTGCACCACCGGCCACGACTCGTGTGCCACCGCCACCACCACCGCCAAGGACACCACCCCCAACCAGGCCAGCGACTCGTCCTCCAACACCGCCTCCAACTAGGCCAGCGACTCGTCCTCCAGCAACTTATTTGCCACCCACAAACAAGCCTGCACCACCGGCCACGACTCGTGTGCCACCGCCACCACCACCGCCAAGAACACCACCCCCAACCAGGCCAGTGACTCGTCCGCCAACACCACCTCCAACAAGGCCAGCGACTCGTCCTCCAGCAACTTATTTGCCACCCACAAACAAGCCTGCACCACCGGCCACGACTCGTGTGCCACCGCCACCACCACCGCCAAGGACACCACCCCCAACCAGGCCAGTGACTCGTGCTCCAACTCCACCTCCAACAAGGCCAGCGACTCGTCCTCCAGCAACTTATTTGCCACCCACAAACAAGCCTGCACCACCGGCCACGACTCGTGTGCCACCGCCACCACCACCGCCAAGGACACCACCCCCAACAAGGCCAGCGACTCGTCCTCCAACAAGGCCTCCAACTGCATCACCAGCACGTACATCCACTCCAGCACCAACCTACTTGCCACCCACAAACAAGCCTGCACCACCGGCCACGACTCGTGTGCCACCGCCACCACCCCCACCAAGGACACCACCCCCAACAAGGCCACCTACTCGTCCTCCAACTCCTCCCCCAACTAGGCCGCCGACTCCAGTGACCAGACGTACACCACCACCCACTCTGCCACCGACCCGTCCTGCGACCAAGCCACCAACCCGGGCCACAACTCCCGCACCTACTTACCTGCCACCCACAAATAAGCCAGCACCTCCAGCCACCACCCGTCGCACTCCACCACCCACAGTCCGCACTCCACCCCCAACAGTGCGTACTCCACCACCAACAGTCCGCACTCCACCTCCCACGAGAGCAACTCTCCCACCCACAAGACGCCCATCCAGCACTCCAGCACCAACCTACTTGCCACCCTCAAACAAGCCTGCACCTCCAGCAACCACACGTCCTCCACTACGCACCACTCAGCCTCCTACCAGACCGCCAACACGACCACCCACCCGCCCTCCCACTCCGCCACCCACATACCTCCCTCCCACTCCTCCCCCAACTCGCCCACCCACCCCACCACCCACACGTCCTCCAACTAGGCCCCCAACACGGCCCCCAACACGTGCAACCACGCCTGCACCAACCTATTTGCCACCCACAAACAAGCCTGCACCTCCAGCAACCACACGTCCTCCACTACGCACCACTCAGCCTCCTACCAGGCCACCAACACGCCCAGCCACACCCCCACCCACATACCTACCACCCACCCCACCACCAACTAGGCCGCCAACCCGTCCACCCACACCACCACCCACACGTCCTCCAACTAGGCCCCCAACACGTGCAACCACGCCTGCACCAACCTATTTGCCACCCACAAACAAGCCTGCACCTCCAGCAACCACACGTCCTCCACTACGCACCACTCAGCCTCCTACCAGGCCGCCAACACGTCCAGCCACACCCCCACCCACATACCTACCACCCACCCCACCACCAACTAGGCCGCCAACCCGTCCACCCACTCCACCACCAACTAGGCCGCCAACCCGTCCACCCACTCCACCACCAACTAGGCCGCCAACCCGTCCACCCACTCCACCACCCACCCGCCAGACCACCATCTACATCCCACCCCCGACAAGAGCTAGCGTGCCACCACAGACGACTAAGCACCAGGGCTACCAGTACCCGAAGCCCAGCATCCCCTTCGACTTCTAGAGATCAGAGGTCAGAGAGCGTGTCTAGCAGCGCATTAGCTACTATATGTCTAGGGCTGGATATTGTAGATCTAGTCAATACAGTGTAACGATACTTCAACGCTTCGGAGGTGCTAGGAACCACTGGAAGCGCCAGCAAGGACGAAAATTGTTTGTTTTTTATTCGTATTTGTATTTTTGTAATTAATGAATCGCATACTCATACAGACACAGCTCTAGGGATCATTGTTTCTGTACGATACAGTGTACCTCTATAAGGTGTACAGCCAAAAGTCTATCCAACTCTTGATATGTTCTACCACACGCTATCGATCGACGTGTGCCTGTCTGTTGTCTATAACAGGCGAGCACACAAGCTCAAGACTATATAGCTCTATATTACGATAAAATAAACCTTTATTCGGATTGCTGAAAACCTGAACAATAAAATAAGATTTTCGAATAACTCGACGCATTTTAATCACAAATATCACTGCCGTCAACCGATTGTGCCGCAAACACTGGGATGTTCCTAATAGCCTATTCCCACAGGACACCATCCACCATCCATTTCGGGGATGGTCCGTAAGGTTTTGCCGTTCCGAAAATTTCCCAGTTATTCCACCATCCATCTGGGATGTTCCTAGTTCACACGTTTCTGTGCGGTGTTTTTTCGATAATTGTCAAATGCAACCATAAATATTTGACATTCACAACGAAAAATCGGAATTCACTACGAAAATGTAAACAATGACAGACAGGAAAACGGCAAAAACAACAACAAAACATCTGATATGTCAGAATTGTCTCAGTCAGAAAAACTCGGTTTGTGGACTGGGAATAGTTTTATGAATGCTCTGCAAAACTCATGCAGTATATTGCACACCCTGTTTGCTGACAGCCTTCCGATTGTTCAGTACTCAGAAAAAGAACCCAAAGTATACAATGCTATACAAAACTTTCCTTAAAAAACGCCTCGTTGTTTTCGGGTACATCATCCTCCCAAAACGCTTCTCAAAAAAAATAGAATATATATTTGTATTTAAAACATTGATTGAATTTAGTAGAAGCAGTCACAAATGACCACGCTTCAAGAGAGCAAGAGAGACAAAATGCAACATTATTGTTCGTATATACTTCTCTCGCTCTGACTGCAGAATTTTCCCAAAGGGTCATTTTTATTTTCTCCAGCTAGTCAGTTGACAAAGTAAATGTCAAATTTTCAATTTTAAATGTTATGATTAATAAACATAGTGGAAGTTGGCTGCGAAAGCATATATTATGTTATATACATACAATACTTTCTCTACATTTCATCCACATACGACTACCCTTTAGGTATGCTATAATACATGTGTTATAAAAAAACGCTAAAAGAAAGGTGTGTACTGATCTACATTATTGCTAAAAGATATTCCAGTACTCATATTATATCTATTAAAACACCCCCATCAAGCAAAATGTTGAGGTTTAACTCTGAAAAGTACTTTTATAAGCCACGCTTTTAAACGCACACCACTGACGTAGAATAATTTGTTTTTATACATTATACACGAAATGTAAATATCGGCAGAGCTATCGAAAATCTCCCATCTTTTATGGGCTTTTGAGTTCTGTCTGAGTTCTGTTTCTGAGTTCTATTCGAGAAGTAAGTTCCTCCTTAATAAATATTAAAATTTTTGTTAATTTATGTCCATTTTCAGTGTATAAATTTATTTATCGGCGTTGAATACGTCGCATGCTGAATACCCTAATGACCCTAATAACATATGTATTTTTATATATGTATATCCGATCATTATTATCGAATATACCATCTGAACAGAAATTATCATTGGAGGGATATATACATATAATATATGAGTTTTTTTTTTAATATTGGGGTGGTAAGCGTCTTGCAAAATTAACTTACACTTATAAAGTGAAGGGTATATTTCGACAGCGCTGTAAAAAACGTATGAATGTGCACACATACAGTCGTCGCGACGATTCGGCTCGGCTGTCGCATCGGCAAAAGAACAAACTTCGTGTGCTTTCCTATGCTGTATTCATACAAGAGAGCGGCTGGCTCTAGAGTCTAGAGTATTTCCATTTTGTTTTTTTCTGAGTGAATCAAAAGTTATGTTTTTTCTGTAAATAGTCAGCTGCTCATCTCAATAAAGATAATAAAAAGCCGCGCCGCAACAAAACTTTACCTTCCACACCGCGCTGATGTCTTTCCTGAGAGAGTAGAGTACCGGCAGGAGACATACTCAGTGGCAGCGTACATATTCTCGGAACAATATGATACTCTAATACGATGCTTCTGGATATGAGGCACTTTTTGCAGCAGAAACCATGCGTTCACTGTGGCGCTGCATCTCGCGTGTTTTATTCTCTCGGATCGCATTTATCCACCTTAACTTTGGACATGGCTTTGGCTCACGCTCCTTCGCGCTCTTGCAGCAGAAACTGTAGTGCCACGATGTCCGCCAGGATATAAATGCTTTGAACGCCATTCGTCTACGAAGATCATGTAACTATTACGTTTCTTGGGTGCCACATATGGCATAGTCAATTCGCACTGGCTAGGTACATATCTAGCTAGGACACTGGCTAGACTATTTGCAAATTGTTTTTATGCCAGAAACCTTTAAATCAACGAACTAGAAGACACGCTTAAATGTAGCTGTGTGATATCACATGAGTCTGGAAACAAAATTGGGTTGCTCTAGCTTTTACGAGTACAAATTGTTGCGCATCGTACCGAGAATGGACATCTCTCCGAATGCGGGGTTAATTATGATATTTAATAATTATCTATATTTACATGTGTATACCCATTGGCTTATTCTATATTAATACATATGTATATAATACTTACATATACACAACTTAGCAAAGTTGAAGCACATCATGTCCGGTAGATCTCGATCTTGTTCGTTTCACATCTTAGGGAGGTATCAAAAAGCTCTACGGCTTTGTCGCTATGTTTGTTTCAATCATGCGAAATATTAGAGCAGAAAGAACAGGCGAACGAATCCAACAGGATAACGAAAATGTGCGTGTGAGATGAGATTCCTATCTGTCAGGGAATGAGCGCTTCGGATTGCTTAGCAGTCAACTTGCATTGCATTTCTAGTCAGTTCGCTGCGATCTTGAGTATTTCATGGTCAATGCGTTTTTTAATATCTCTTTCTTTTCCACATGCCGGCAACACAACACAACACAGCACGAATGCGCCTCAGCAATTAATTTATTTGTGTACTTGTGCAAGTATTTTTCTTTGCTTTCGCAGGTGCAAACTTTATTAAACTTTCTAATTAAGCGGTCGCCACTCGCTGATATGTATATCTATATCTGCGGCCACTTTTTAGGCGCTGCTGGCGCCCAACTGCACACAGTCGTCGTTGCGATCCGCGATGAGGCAGAAGTCGCGCCAGGTGCCCACATTCACAGAGCGATAGGCAAGTCGAGCGGTTCGAGCAGCAGCCACCAGAGTCCGGAAAGATGTCCATGCAGCCAGCCCCAACAGGAGACAACGAGTTTAGAACACGACAGGGTCCGAGTCCTGGCATTCGTCTGGCCACAAGCATTGGCAGCAGACACTGGATTATGGGCTTGTTATTCGTCCACACGATTGTACGTACAGATCGGTCGAGTTTTTCCTTTCTTTCGCATAAGATTGGGCAATCGAGATTTCTGTTTTGTTTTTGTTTGCTTGCAGATGTCTCTCATGGTAGTCAAGGTCGCCTCCACAGCAGCTCTGTATCAACACCAGCAACAAGCACTGCAGCCACTCAACGGCATTGAGTCCACAGCAGAGACAACACACAGCGACAGGGAGAGCCAGAACCTGGGCCTGAACCATAGCCAGAGCCAAAGCCAAAGCAGTAGCGACATCGAGAAGATGCGTGCCAAGTTACAGCAACTGCAGCACGAGCAGCAGCAAGAGTATATGCGGCAACAGCAGCAGCAGCTGCAGCTGCAGCTGCATCTGCAACAGATGCATGCCACGGGAGCTGTTGGCGAAACCGCCTACTTATTGGAGCGTGCCGACCACGCCGCGCCCGCCCCAGCGCCCATCTACGGAACATGGCGCACGAAAGCGAGACGGGCCCCGCACGCCACCTCGGGGAATGATGTTGACGATGGGCATGTCTACGAGCGCCTGCCTAAGCGATCAGCCACCATGACACCTCTGCGTGGCGTGCTGCGCGATCAGATGCCCCGTCCGCCGCGCCTGGCCACCCAGGACACGCACCAGCTTCAGGTGTCAGGCTCTCCGCCGCCGCCACCGCCCACAACGACTCTGCTGAGGCGCCACTACTCCGAGACGCCGGGCACTCTGGCCATGCGGGAGGACTTCGGGAAGCCGAAACCCTTTCACTTTCCCTACGACGGTCCGCTGCCCGAGCAGTTCACCAAGGGCGAGGCGGAAAGGGAGCAGCGTCCTCGGCCGGAGCTGAACAACATACAGGACATACTGCAGCACCTGCACATCAATGGGTTGGCTCCCAGCAAGCTGCCACCGATGGTGATGATGCCCACGGGCCTCCACATAGCGGGAAGTTTCAAGAATTTCAAGAGCAGTGGCATCGGCAACTTCTTCCGTGGCAAGCGGAACAAGAAGCAGATGCAGTTCAGCATTCCGTTGCCCATGTCAGTGGGACATGGCCCAATGCCCATGTCCATGTCCATGTCCATGCCGATGTCCATGCCAATGCCAATGCCCATGCCCATGCAGTGGTACGGGCCGGGCGTGATGGCACATCAGCGAGTGGCCATCGATCAATTGTATCCATACAAGCCGCGCTCGCCGCAGGACATCAATCTGCTGGCCATGCAGCAGCAGCTGACACCCAACAAGAACGTGTCCAAGAAGAAGAATAAGAAAAAGCACCAACAGCAGCAACAGCAGCAACAGTTGGCCCAGAGCAACCACAATTTGCTGTTGGAGCACGGCAGCCAGCAGAACTACGTGGCCGATCCCTTTGGTCAGCACCAGCACCAGCACCAGCACCTGCCACAGCCAGTGCTCGCTTTGAATGCCACAGGGCAGCCGCAGCATAAGCGCATTCCCTTCAAGCTGAATCTGGATATATATCCGGTGATGCCGCCCTCGCGTCCCGCCTCAGTGCTGCGCAATCCATTCCAGCAGGAGTACGCGATGCCTTCGCCGGCAGCACTGACGGGCACCACGGCCGCCGCCTATCAGCATCTCGGACACGGCCTCTACCAGACGCCATTCAAATTTCCCACCCAAGCGCCCCACTCAGGCCACATGCCGATCAGCTTTCCCGATCAGGCAACGCGATTCAGCCAGCAGCAGGCTATCTATCAGTCACAGGCACACAAATTTCCGCCACCCAAGAGCTTGCATCCCGATGAGGCCATCTATGGACATGGTCCAGCTTATGGCCAGGCACAAAATCAGGGACAGAGTCATTGGCAGGGCCACAGCCAGGGCTATGCGCAAGGTCAGGGCTTGGCTCACGTGCAGGCACTGGGTCAAGTGCAGAGCCAGGCACAGGGACAGGGACAGACATTGGAGTCTCAGAAGATAGAGTCTCAGACGAGTCCCATTATGCTCCATCTGAACGTCTTTCCCAAGCAAAAGCCCACGGCAACAATACGCGCGTCCACGAATCCGTTTTACAACCACAACTTGCATCGGAACGCGATCAACTCGAGTGATCTGCCGCCACCCAGTCCCCCGAGCCCCATCGAGCCGCGTCAGGCAGGGGCAGGCAACGGCTCTGCAATACCGTCATCAGCCGCTCAGCCGCAACATCATAATCATCATCAGCAACATCAGCCGTCTCAGCAGATATCTCTCAATCAAACGCAGCAGCAGCAGCAGCAGCAGCACAACCAACCGCAAGTGAATCGCTCCAGTTCCATCTCACGCAGCGACCACCTGCCCCTCATCGACTTTGAGCATCCGATTGTGGCCGCCGAGGCGCCAGAGGCAGCTTCTCTGGCCAGCTACCGGACCGATCATCGCCACCACAGGGCACAGACGCACCATCACCCTGTGGATGAACACTTTCGCTACCAGAAGAGCGCCAATATCGAGCAATTGGCGGCCGAGGCACAGACAGCATCGCTCTTCCGCTTTCCCGTCGAGGATCTGATACAATTCCACGTGGACGATGCCCTATAACTCTAACTGTATTAACTATATTAGCTGTATTAGCTGTGTCTTAGTATCTTTAGTTAGTGTATAAGTTAAATCAATATATTTATGCTCCCTAGACGGCGGAAATAATATTCAAACAATTCCATTCGACACCTCCAACGGGCAGAAGAATCGAAATGCCTAAATTGTTTTTAATTATCCGTAAAAAAAATAGGAAAACCAAAAAAAAACACTACTTTGCGTGTCAAAACGGAAGTTTTTAATTTACATTAATTTACGAAAAAAAACTACTATTTTTATGAAACAAGCATCAGAAATTTTGTTCGCTCTCTGTTATGGTAGTATTTTTCGTATATTTTTACACTTAAATTACCAACAATGCGTAGATGTTGGACTGCTTTACCATCGTAAGTACCAGCAAGCAGTACTTAACGGAAAAAAACTGGACTTCAAGTATGCTACACATTTATTGAGTGCGCCCAAAAGTACAGCTAGTTTTCAGGCCAGCTTAGGCATTCCATTGCCAATCGTTTTGCGCATGCGCGAAATGGGACAGAAACCACAGCGAGCCGGCAACAACAAGAAACCAGTATGCGGCAGCAGCTGAGAGCCAAGAACGGGCGAGGCGGCAGCACCACACCAGCACAGCAACAGGTAAGAGTCACCTACCAGACAGAAGGTAAACAGGCGTCGCTCCGTCCAGACGTTGCCGCGCTTCGTATTCGAATTCGAGTTCCGTTCCGTTCCGCGAGTGAGAGACCGTGAGTGAGACACCACCAGATACAAAATACAAGGAAAACCAACAACAACAACGACACGAAGTCGCGAGTGGCCTGGCCTGGCCCGGCCAAGATCAAGTTTCGGACCCTAGCGTCATCCATTCGCCGTTTTGAAGAGTGTGTGTTTTTTTGCGTGCGTTGCTGGCCAAAAGCGAAACGAAGCCAAAATATAATGTGAAATAGCTGGGACTCAAATGGGCATTAGTGTTTAATTAGTTGTTTCGGCCAGGCTAATTGCACTCCAGTCTTTTCAGTCAGAACTACAGTTTTGAGGATTTTACATTTGCAATTTTTGCAGCGAAAAGATCTGCTTCCTGAGACAGGCATTTTTTCACTCCACCTCACTCCATCTCACTATCTCGCTCTCTCTCGGTCTCTTGGTGTTTCTCCCTCTCTTTGTTGTTCTTTTTTGCCCAAAACAAGAACTCGTAGATATACGCGAGTGCGAGTGTATTCTATACCCACTACCTGGACTTTGGCGCAGAGTCTGCCGATTATAGCAACCAGTCATGCCTCTGTGTGTGTGTGTTAATTCTGCTTGATATAGCCCTGCAGATGGAACAGTCGTTACAGCCTTGTTTGCCTGTCCGAAATCGAAATCCTCAATGGATCTGCAAGGGTATCAAAATATTCGACACCCGTAGCTAGCCTTCTTTTCTTCATTGGCATGCTTTGCCGCCCGTCTGTCCCTCTGCTTTCCTTCGCCTGTTCGTTGTGTGTTTTTGTCCGTGATGAGCTGCTGGTGTGTGTGCCAGCGAAGAAAGCCATCATCATCGCGGTGTTTGTTTGCCAATCGCCAAGAAGTGCCCAATGATCGGAACTCCCAGCCAGCAGCATCAACAGAATCAGCAGAGCAGCAGCGCAGCAGCCGCCTCATCATCATGTGCTACTTTTCACATGTGCATAAAGTGAAATCTGTCCGCTCCCGCAGCTGCTCTCAGCTCTCTTGTTCAGCTTCTGGACTAGAAAATGGTCTTGCTTATATTTTTTGTTGACCATCAAAGCAAATGTGCTGTAGCCACTGTGCCGCTGGCAAAGTTCAAACGGCAAGGCTGCGATTAGCAAAACTGAAACAGCGGACTCAGCCAGATTCCAGCGAGATCTTTCTCTGTCTGCTGCTGCCACTCCATTAACACTGTACCCTATACTGTGCCGACAAGGCCAACTGGGGGGCGGGTGTGGTGTTGCAGCAGCAGCTAACATTGAAAAAGTTATTGTTTCGGCTCAAATGAATGACAAGAAGTTTGCTTTTGCATTTTGTGTCAGTCCGCAGTACGAGCCACAGGCCCCAAGAACCAGCTACGAGCGGTGTAAAATCGAAAAAACTGTGTCATTCTATCAAATCTATGTGCTAAATACTAGAGTAAATAGCCACGAAATCTCGGCAAGCTAACGGATACAATATACCTAACGGCAGTGAAATTAGCAACGGCAACATGTTGCCGCTGGGGCTGCCCCTGCTACTACTACTGCTGCTGCTGAGCTCCACCACCATGGCTCAGTTGCTGAATCATCCGCCGCAATTTGTGCCCGGAACAGGAGACATGTCCCGCTTCAGCCTGTCGGAGAACACGCCAGTCGGGAGTCCCATCTACCAGCTGAAAGGTAAGTGCCACCACTGCCACAACCAAATTGTGGCTGCTACACGATAAGACACGTTCCATGGCAACTTTGATTGCATGTCCCATTTATCTAGAATTTCTTCCCGGGCTTTGTGCCAGATCTGGGGCACTGGCATAGTCGACATTTTATTAACATGTGTAGCAGAGTGTAGTACGTTGAGCCAGCCAGGGGAGGCACGTTTACATTACGTTTCATAATTTTATACGAAATTGCTACATGGCTTTCATTGCAGCATTGAGACAATGTTCAGCAACAGCCCAGTTCCCACGCAGTTTGCGGAGGTGATGCCTTTCACTGGCAGCCAGGCAGCCAGGCAGGCAGCAGGCAGTTTGTTGTTATTGAAAATAAAGAGAGCCCCCCCACTGGCCCAACGAGCTGGTAGAAAGGCCCTGGCGCATTTGATTAAGTATTATCTGGGGAGCTAAAGAATGTAATCTCTGGGAAGAAAAGTTTCAATCATAGCTTAACAATGCTATGCTCTGGAAGATTGAGTCATCCAACGAATTAATATCCAATATTTGCTCAGTTTTAATTGAATATTGTCAGAGGGCTAATTAAATAAATTCTGCTTTAACAAAACAGATTTTGTGTAGGGCTTTATCTGTGTCTTCAAAGCAGCTTTCGCCTGTTTTTTTTATTTTTATTAATATTATAACATCTTCCAATTAAATTTAAAAAAAAGATGTTCCTTGCTCTTGTAATACCAGAAATATGCTCAGTTTTCTAGCAAGAATCAGTTTAGAGGGTATCTCCATTTCGATTCGAGCACATACTCCCCCTCTCTGCTGGCTCTTTGAGTGTATAATAATTTTGTAATTTGGCTTTTGGACATACCTCAAATTACCCGTGCTGACTTTCATTTCTTGGCTCTTTTTTGTGTGTGTGTTTTTTTTTTTGGGTTGGCTCTGGCCACAACGCCACCTACTTCGAGGCAACCTTGTGCGGGGTATTGGATTATTATTATGGTAGCAGCACGTTTACAGCAGCATATCGACCTCAGATATGAGCATATATGTACATATATGTATGTATATCTACACATGTATGTGTATTGGCGATTACACAATGTGAGTGCAGTAAAAATATGCAATTGCCAGAGATCTGGCAGAATGTGCGATAAACCACACAGATACTACGAGTACGAGTACGAGTACGAGCACTTGGCAGTTGTTTCGCTGTTTCTTGCTTTTGGCAATCGCCCAAGAATGCAGTTTGATAGTCAATTAACAAACAAAAACAAACAGAGATACATAGGTAGAAATGTACATACATATATGTACATATATGCATCTGATAGGTGGACATGCGGAAATGCATTTGAACACGTTTGTGCGTAGCAACACAGACACAGCCAGAGATCCGATACGCTAATGATGATTGCTGTAATGGCTGACCGTCATTAGATAGTCTCCGCTTTAGCTTTAGAATGCCACTTCAGTGCACACTTTTACTCCGATTGAGAGTGCCAATCAATCGAGAGTCGAGATGGCAATCAAATAGCAATCAGCATAGAGGAGGCCGGTTAGGCGTCACTCCCTCGAAAAATGATTATTCAACAACCCAGCAACCCACTGAGCAGATCTTGTTTGCTCTGCTGCTGCACATGCTCCACCTGCTCCACCAGTTGACACCCTAACACAGAGGCCCAGTCCAGTCCCCCCAGTTACAGATGCGATTCATAGCAGACATGGAGAGGCCTGCAATTTGATGCCACTGCAACTTCATCAGGCGCGCCAACTTCATAATCAGATGTAGCATTGTCTTAACTGGTTGTTTGGGGGCTGGCTGACTGGCTGGCTGGCTGGCTGGCTGGCTGCTGAGCGTGTGCCAAATCGCCTTGGCCTGGCCGGATTGTTGCTGTAACTGTAACTGAGACTGCTGCGGCGAATGCGAATGCGACTGGGTGAGCGGCCTCTCAGCAGGTTCGTTTTGCAAGCAGCATCCGTGAGATACAAAACACGTTTGCTGCGTTTGAAATCAAAAGTGCCAGGCCATAGCCAAACAAACACTTGCAAACCCAATTTGAAAAACTGCCCAGGCCAAAGCCAAAACAGTAAATTGCTTTGCCTAAACTGTGGGCCAGGAAGCAACTGACCAGCCGCATCTGGTTCATAACTACAGATGGGAAATTAAATATTGAATACTCGTACCACCACAATTGATGGAGTTATGCAATTGTTTTGCCCTGCGAAGCGACAAATGTTTGCATCTGGCTTATGGCATAATTCATTAGCATTCGGATTGATTCAGCAATTCAGTTGGATACCGCAAAGCTGTTTCCTCTTCTTCAATTAATCTGAAACACTCCTTTCAGTTTAGTCTGGAGTTTCGGTTGAAGTGGCTACTTAATTACACATTTTGGGAATGAATGAAGTGGCCTAAGCAAAGCGAATAATTGTCCGAATGTTGGTAAATGGCGGGCGAGCGGGCGAGCGGGTGGGTGGGTGTATCAGGCGTTTCTCTCGGTTTATCCAAAAGAAAAACAACCTATTCAGTGTGTAATAAATAGCCAAATATTAACAAATACGCTTCGTGAAGCATGAAATCACAAATCATTTCTGCCGCATCAACAGCAACAGCAACAACAACTACCACAACAACAATTATGGACATATCTCCCACCCCGTTGAGCAACGATCGGATATCTGGGATGGACCAAGTGAAAAGAAGAAAAGCTTTTCCCCACATTATCTCGCA